CAACAGATATGAACAAATATTCTATCTCCTTTCTTGAATGAAAACAACATTTCTTCCACTTAAAATACGCTTTATTCTTATCTACACCATTAAAAAACTACTAGAGCTGCTACCTTTACATTTAAACTTGTAACGTCCAACAATAAAAATAGTAATGTCACTTGGAAAAGTGGAATATATAAGAGTTAATTGTGCCGTGTACTTTAATTTAAACTATTAGGTTGTCCCAAAAGTTTCTTTCGCTTTATTAATAAGTAATACATGCACAACATTTTATGTTTTATGTTACATTACTGAATTGTGCACGATTCATTTTGCTCCATTACTGTTACAACATGAATATCTATGAAATTAGATTGTTTATTTATATAAACACGACCACATAAAATAATTGAGTGCAACTCACGAAAGAAACTTTCGGGACAACCTAATAATAAAATCGAGTACATATATTTCATGCCATTTATGTTTCATTAAAAAACAAGGTCCTGGAGCTCCACGTAAACTTTTACAATTATACTTGCAAATAAAAGTAAATTAAGAATTATAATGGCAAAAATAATGTTTAGAGGTGTACTAAATAATATAAGTACAGAATGTTTATACTTGAATTAACGGTAAACGTATGAAAAATCAATGATGATCACTTGAGATAAATAGATACTGTGGATGAGTTAAATCTTGAAGACTGTATAAGGAGATCCAACTCCCTAAGAAAGTTATTAGAAAACTGTTATCGAAATCCCGAACTTGAAGTTATGAATATTTCGTTCACACGCGGAGCAAGTGCGCACAGACTACGATATACATATACAGGGTATCCCAAAAATGTTGTAACACATTGAAGGAGGTGGTTTGAGAGGTGATTTGAAACAACTTTTTCCTTAGCGAAAATGCTGTCCGAGGCTTCATTGGGGAGATATTAGCAGAAAACCCCGACCAATCCGGGGGCGCTCCATTGGCATACTCACGCTCTGATTGGTCGAGGAGCGCGGCCACCTAGCGCGTAGCCTACGCTACCGCGAGCGCTCCATCGGCATACTCGCGCTCTCAATGGTCGGGGAGCGCGGCCGCCTACTAAGTAGCCTACGCTACTGCGCCCCCTCCACCGGCATACTCGCGCTCTGATTGGTCGGGGTTTTCTGTTAATATCTCCTCAACGAAGCCTCGGACAACATTTTCCCTAAGGAAAAACTTGTTTCAAATCACCTCCCGAACCACCCTTTTCAAGGTATTACAACATTTTTGAGACACCCTTTTCAAGGTGTTACAACATTTTTGGGACACCCTATATATATGTCATATGTGATGATAATGTGATGATATATATATATATCGTAGCTGTGCTCACTTGCGCCAGAAGTGGTAGAAATATTCATAACTTCAAGGTCGGGATTTTGATAACACTTCTACACTACACAATTAGGACTCCTTATACAGTCTTCATGGCTGCTACCTTTACGTTTAAACTTGTAACGTCCAACAATAAAAATAGTAATGTCACTTGGGAAAGTGGAATACATAAGAGTTGATTGTGCCGTGTACTTTAATTTAAACTAATAATTTATGTTTCATTAAAGAACAAGGTTCTGAAGCTCCAAGTAAACTTTTACAATTATACTTGCAAATAAAAGTAAATTAAGAATTATAATGGCAAAAATAATGTTTAGAGGTGTACTAAATAATATAAGTACAGAATTTTTATACTTGAATTAACGGTAAACGTATGAAAAAAACAATGATGGTCACTTGAGATAAGTAGATACTGTGGATGAGTTAAATATTATCGACAAAGGTCTCTCGCAAGTGAGGCAACAGCTCAGCTGCGGTTGAAGCTTTGTAATCAAAGTCCCCCTCGCTCTGCCTCTTCTCAAACTGTCTGTGCCTATAATTCCACCCCTCCAAAGGCAACTGGATCGATAGAGCGTCGCCCGCGGTGACTAACCCGACGACGGCACCCTTACCCATCAGGTAATTTACAGAAGTGTTCGCACAATTCGAGCAAAGCCACTAAATAGGGAGAGCCCTTCGCCCTTGCATTATACAATGAGAAGTTAACGAAAAAGAAAGGAAAGACGAAGAATCTATTAAAGAATGGGCTAAACGAATAATGAATTTGAACGAGGCTATTGCGGAATGCAACAGGGAAAAGATGAAAAATGAAGGTATTTTTCACTTCCCGATTTATAGGGAAGTTATTGTTTTGTTTTAGGTTTAATAGCAAACCGAGGAGGTTTATCTAGCATCGCCTAGCGTACCTTTCTTCAGGCGATAGAGCATTTTAACTTGGACGCGGTAGCAACTCGAAAACATAGGGTTTTAGCAAAAAATGTTTCAGACAAAAGTTTCATGATTCCGAGGGGAGCAGGTAATGGAGTTATCAATTCGATTATAGATGGCATTACTTAAGATATTTCTTCATAGCGGCCATTTTTTTTTAAATGGAAGTCGATTTTTTGTCATATGAAAATTGTAGCTGATATTAAGACGAAAATAACCAATTTAGTTTTTTGTTTTCATTCGTGTCATTTTTGGACGAGTTAAAACGCTTATAGTTTGTTGCTTTCCGAACTCAATTTATTTATTGCATAATAAACGACGAATAAAAGCACTGTTCTGCGATTTACTTGCGATGCTTATTTGACTGCTCGGTTATTCTTTGTTAGGCAAGCTTTTATTCTTATCTTAGAAACTTGATATCAGTCAATTATAAGTGTGCAAATCAACAATTACATGTTGAATTATGATAATTATGATGTAAAATTACATTTATATGCAGAGAAATGTAGAGAATTTAGGTTTCGAATATTTTTCATGACAGTGGCACCATCTAGCGACAGAAGATAGAAACTATTTCACGACCAACTTGAACGGTTTCCCGAGACATGGCGTACATTTTTCGTTACGTTAGGTGATTTGTTCAAAAATAAAATATTGACAACTTGAAATTGACATCTTAATACATATCTGTATAAAATAATGGTTCAATTTACTGTTTAGTTTGTTAGAAATGATCACTTGAATTTCGTAGCTTTCCTGTTAGTAGGCCCGGTTGTTATATCGTTGGCGCAAAGGTGCCCCTGGTATGCAGTAGCAGACACTAGCCTGTTTGTCGGTACGGTTGTCATTTCCTAGGCGCTGAGGTGCCCCTTTCATATGGCAACCCATGCTAGCCGGTTTGTCGGTTTGGTTGCCATCTCGTAGGCGCAGAGAGGCCCTCTGTTTGTCGGTACGGTTGTCATCTCGTAGGCACAGGGTGCTCCTTTTATGCGGCAATCACTAGTAGCTTGTGTAATCTATTGTAATGTAAATGTTGGCTGCACTTAAAATTTTTGAATTTCTTTTGCATAATCCTGTAAATTTTGCTGAGAAAAATTCGAAAATGCTAGTTTTAAGGCGAGGAATCCACTAGTTCAGAAGTTTGACTGACACTTTCGACGCCATATTGTCTTGTAGCCATACCCTCTGTCGGTAAGACAGATTCTCGGTGATGGCGGACTACATTATGTATTACTTTTATATTGTTATGCCTATTTTTTAAAACTGTCATATTTCGAATTAACAGAATTGGTTTGGGCCTATTTTCTCGTCGGGGACGAATTCCTAGAGTACGAATTCAACTTTTGAATTACCTGACAAATACCAGTCACTCGTCGAAATCTACAGACTTACGTAAAAAAAACTTAAAAATTTTGGGTCCGCCAAAATAAAGTTTAACCTAAATGTTGAATGAATGTTTATATTTAAACCACTAGGTATGTTTGTGTGTTTTATAGTTGTCAGTTATGTTTATCTATTTGTGTTAGTAATTTATTGATTAGTCATTCAATTTGTATTGCGATTTGATTTTTTCTGATATATAGCGTGTTGTCTTGGAATTTTGACAGTTTTCGACGAATCTCTAAATAAATATCCTTACACTTGTGTGTCGATACGGTTGTCACCTCGCAGGCACAGGGGTGCCCCTTTCATGCGGCAACCTAAGCTACCCGGTGTGTCGGTTTGGTTGCCATCTCGTAGGCGCAGAGAGGCCCTCTGTTTGTCGGTACGGTTGTCATCTCGTAGGCACAGGGTGCTCCTTTTATGCGGCAACCACTTGTAGCTTATTCTTCAATTCGATTGTTGTCTCGAAGTTGCCGTGAACTCGATCATACAACGACTATGTGGATAAAATAATTCGTGAAAAATTAATTGCAAATGTAATTGTATCAATCACTACTTTTTTTTTTATTAAAAATCATAATCAAATAATAATTTCAGAATTTTATTATAGAAAATATATCGTTATTAATACTTTCTGTATTTGAGTTTTGTTTTGACTAGTACAGTTGAAAAAGAACCACTTTAACGTTCAACTTGTTTATAATTGTCAGTAATCTGTTGAAAAGCGCACGTATAAATTTCTCTCTTCTTAAGAGATGATAAAGTTACTATACATAACATCTGCATCAGGGCCGGCGTTAGGGTCGGGCAACCGCCCGGGGCGTCAGATTTTTGGGGGCGTCCCAGTCCAATGTAGATTAGTAAAGCTGCTATATATTGTAGTTTAACAATCTTTACAATCTAGCTACAGATTCATCGTTTGATATTATTATCTTGTCTGTTTTTCTTGAAAATTTTAAGCCTCTGAAGGGGCGCCACGATAATCTTGCCCAGGGCGCCAATATTGCTAAAACCGGCCCTGATCTGCATCTTTATTGAGAAAGATGACTGTTAGATAAGTTATATGTAGATGACTATTCATTTCAATGAAAACGATTTAAACAACCAAAAGGAACTGTAAATATTTTCTTGCCTAATAATATTTTCTTTGTATCAGTTCAAATTTTAAAAAATTGAAACATTTCGTAGTTCAATAATGCACTTATTATTTTACAATGTCGCAAATGTTGGTAACGTTATGCAAGAGTTTAAAACTATTAGAATGCCTTTCTTATAACCGTTTTGCAAGAACATTGCAAGTGGGAATTACCGATCGCCATAACAAGAAAAATGAACACTCCAATTAGTTATTTAATTGGGTTACAAAAACTTACTTATTGAATATGGCAATCAGTACATAGATTTTGCTTCCAGAATTATGCGCATTTGCGGTACTACTATACATCATTACATATGACATTCATATAAACAAATATATAATTTCAATTAACCCTAGCTTTATAGTTTCTCTATTTCAATATCTTGTTCTTTAAACATTACTAGCGAATAGTTTACACAAGACATTTGCTTATCATACATTTAATTTAAGTGCTGTAATTCCTGAGTCACGAATGAAATGAATCATCAGAATCGCTAAACCCTTACATTTGTAATTCAGTAACTCCTGAATCATATAACAATTATTTATTGAATCAATACTTATTAACATTCGTTATTTTATTTCTTATTAGTAGTATTAATAAATAACATTGTATTCCGCTTTCTGAATATAAACTTAGGACGTAAACCAAAAATAAAGACAATTGGCGAAGAAAGTCTTCAGATTTCACTTATCCTAACAGAATTCAAATCGCCTTTCTTCGAATTTCAATTGAAACTAATCTTAAGAGAATACAGTCGTTATCTTCTTTCGTTTTCCTTCTTTTAACTCGAAGACCGACAATATTATGCGCTAACATTTTATAGAAAGTCCTCCTAGTTAAACAATTAATTGGAAATAGATGTTATACATAGTGGACAAGTCTCGTTATAATTATTTTTTAGATTTAAATCAATATTTCACTCGTGCAGCTTTCCAAGCCACACTGTTACGCAAGCTTTACTTTAAAAAAGGATTCATGTGCAGCAGAATGCATATCAAGGCTTTACAATTATTTATCGAGAATGAATGACAGTAAAAAACTATAAAATACGATCAAACTCTTGATACAGTTTCCACCGTCTGTCATACTGTTTCATTCACTACTCTATTTATGTGTATCGCAACGGATAGCATAACTCATAATGTATGATTGTACACGATAGATTATTAGACAAAGTTCAAGAACTTAAGATTACGTATTGGTGTACATAGGACAACAATCATATTCCACGGTTGATGCCAATTACAAGTATTATGAGTCATAACGGTGTTCACAAAGTAGAGTAGTAGAGTATCAGATACCGATCAGGACAAAATTGACTTCTTTAAAGAATAAAACGAATAGATAAGCTTTTAAATAGAACTGTCAATGAATTAAATAGAATCGCCATCCTCCCATCAATTTTAGATACCTTTGTCTGCGTAGTAAGCTTAGACGATAACCTTCGAATGCAAACTTCCATCAAAAGCCGAGTATCTTTGGCTACTTCGGGTATGTTTATTTAAATAATTATAATATAGTAATATTGTACAGCTTGAATTAGAGTACAGGGTGAATTTGAAATGCAACTTCCTTTCACATCATGCGTTGCCCATTCGACGGAGCATACTGAGATGACTGATTCGCTGAAGATCCTGTTGGCCCTGGAGGACCATAGGGTCCTGTCATAGAACCAGTTTGAGGTGGATATCTGTTGCACAACATTATCAAATATGTTTATTTGTCAACTGCGTTTCATTAAGTATCACATTAAACTTTCAAATTATTTTATCATAATATTATGTTATCGTTAGATTCATTCAATAACGATGCCTATGCCAAGAATATGTTAGTGAATCTAAGAATACTGTAACAAAGTAGTGGTCAAATGCTCAGTAATGATATATCGCTGTATCAAATACAGGGTACATGTATTCTATATTTAAAAATGTTTTATAAAGGTATAAGATATGGTGGCAAATTTTAATCGCAGTAGGACTCCATTTATTAGAACTTGCAACGAAACTGGATGGTTCAGTTAATGGATGCATTTGAATAACAGTGGTAAAAGAGAAGTATAATATGTACTTTGGGTAATTAGAAGAAAAAGAAGTATAATATATCCCTTGTGGGGACCTTGTCGTAATAACAAAAAGGTGTATGTAACCTTGCATAAATAAAAAAAGGGGCATTTGACGAACCTTGTCTTAACAAAATGGGGGTGTATATGTTTTCGGCCGCATGTTTAACTGTGAGTGAACAGTGGACATATTTCATATCTCGCAGGGTTGAGCTGGTTTAGGAGTCCGCTTTGCTGGGCGTGCCTTGGTCACCGCAAAAAAAAAGGTCTGGGTTAGTGGATTTAAAAAATGAAGAATAAAACGAAATTTTAGCAAAATCAATAGTGTGTGATGGCTAGATCTACGAGGAAATTATCTTATATTTATGTTTGTAGTTAGTAGGTTAGTAGGCCTGGGTTAGATCTTGGTTCAAATACAGCGTAAAGTTTTGTTCGGGCAAATGGAGACCTACTGTGGTATCAGATCAGATCATAGGGTGCTTTAGTCTAATCCCCAAGTGTAATCCTCCTATAGAGCAATGAAAGAGTACAATATTTCTCTGTATAGTTAGCTACAGTTTTAAAAGAAGATTTTGCTTCTTCGCCCAGCGTAAACTGTAAATATTGAAATAGTGGACACAATGCCACCACTACAGTTGTCACCATTATATATATTTAAATTGTTACGTATCTACATTTTCAATAGGAATTTTAAGACACTTATATTAACACATACCCTTGCTGAGAATAAGGGAGGCTATTATGTTCAAGCACTGGTGGACCCTGAGAGTGACCAGGAGGATGCTGATGTGGTCCTGATTGCATGTGAAAATGTTGGGGTAATGTCATATTTGGCATGCTAGCAGGCCCTATGTATTCGTTCGTTGGATTGTTGGTACCATATGGTACAGATGAACCAGCCCCGATAGAAAAAGAAGGTTGATGAGGTGGAGGCACCCCGTTAAATATCTATCAAGAAAACGTGTCGTTTTAAGTATCGTAACTAGAAAACATTCCCTGCAAGCAACATTAAACATGTACACACAGCAGAGAAACCTGATCCACGCTACCACAGATGCCGTAAAAGACGAAAATAAAACTGATAACATTGTCTGTGTGAAGTTGGCAGCTCACTTTGTGGAAGTTCATACACAATTAAGACTTATGACTTCGTTTTCAATCATTCTATGGGTCCCGTTCAATTAAACTAATAGTTCTATCAATTAGTAACATTGGATCATTTATTAAACACTTTTAAGTGCATGTAACCAAAAGAATAACTATAAAACCACAAGAATTCTTGGATAATCACCTAAAATTATTTAATAAATTACTCAATAGTTCGTACTGATAGAACTATTAGTTTCATTAATCAGGAACTATAGAACTATCGAAAATGAAGTCAGAACTCTTAATTATTTATGAGCAGACTGTGAATCTTTATGCTAAATAAAATCTTTGCAAACGTGTCTACAAAAATTGGACCTACATAAAAATGTATTTTACTCTGAAAATGTTATGGTATAACCTTTACTTTCAATATTTTTGTATATTATTGCATACTGTGTGCATTTTCTAGTTTCTTCCACATTCCAATTTACTATAAATTCATAAAAATCCACAGTTTATTTATGAGCTTCCACAAAGTGAACTGCAAGTTTCACACAGCTAATAACATTGCCCAGCGCTATCAACAACCTCGATAGGCTGTAAGTATTCAATTTCTCCTGTTCTGTGGTAATGCGGACAAAGTTTTTAACGCTGAGTATGTTGACGCTTACATGTGGTGGTCCTGGAGTTTGAAATTGATATGGATTTATATGCGGTGGCATCTTGGGTAAGGTGTAGCTAGACGATGTGGGAGGTGGAGGTTCTCGCATCAACGTATGGTATAAATTAAGAGCATCCACCAAATCAGAACTTAACTGAGTCAGCTGCGCGTGCCTCCTGTCCACTTTCTCTAAAGCTGCATCTATCAGCGGTCCCATCGCGGTCACTTGTTCTGTACCATTAATTGCAAATATAAATACGATAAATTAGATGTATAGTTGAACGATTCTCTGAAAAATCGGACAAAGATACGACCTCGAAATCTTCAATGTCGATCTTTCATTACATTCTGGTAAAATAGGATAAAACAAAGAAAAAAAATCTTTATTGAACCCTCTAGCTTTGTAATTGGCTGAGTTGAAATCTATTCAACTTATTTATTAATGTGGAAAATTAATCAAGAAACAAAATTAAAATTACATTTTTCGTTGGGAATTTTCTGAATTTTTAAAAAATGGCAACATTCTTTACTTTCTGTTGAAAAAACTAGAGTATCCAACGAGGGCTCTTTTTCTTTCTTTTATCATATTTTACTAAAATGTGATAAAAAATCGACATAAAAAATGTTGAGGACGGATCTTTGTCCGATATTTGAAAGAATCGGTCAGTTATATTACAGTATTAATATAAAGCATTACCTTCCAAGTCGATCATTTCTTGTGGGTCAGATGTATCACACTGAGGATCGGCTTCGTGCAGCAAGTGTAGAAGTTTATCCATTTTTCTTTCATCTATTTCAACTTCGATCACTTCTGGCTCCCTCTTTACCGTTTTCACTTCTACTTCTTCAGCAAATTGAACCATTTTTTTATTACTGTGTTCTAACTCTGTGTATAAATTTATGTATAACGTTTCGTCATTGATTATGCGTAATTTAAGATATATGGAGTCTTACTTGTGAACTGTTCAGGCTCTACAGATAAATCTGCAGTAACAAAATTCGAAGGAAAAAGTCCTTCGCCTCTGTGATTGGTGCCTTTCCACCAATTTGGATCGGAGTCATCCAAGATGTTAACTGAAATTTAATCATTTTATTCTAGCATATATATATTGCATTAATTTTGGTTGTAACTAAAATATAATTCCTTCGAAAGAAATTTTACAAAACTTCATTTGATTCTTACTTATTTCTCCAGCTAAAAATGTTAATTCGTTATCTTCTGCTGCCTCAAAGTCATAGAGAGCACGAACCTTCCTGCCTTCAGAACTGCTGGAAGTACCAAGAGCAGAACTTACGTTTGGGTATAAACTGGTACTCTTCTTTGATGCTGGTGAACTATGCGAAGAGAGCACTTGACTCTGTGCTTTAGTTTCCTTAAGTGAAAGTTCTATGGCTGGAACGGAACACAATTAATTTAATACTTATCGATAAACAAAATTAACAAGTATTTTTAAATATTTTGAAATACCTTTTGCAAGATCTTCCTCTTCCTGTGAATTTGTTACCACATTTGGATTTTTACGCAGTAAGCTTTTCTGTGGATTTCATACAAATTCAATCATTTTAATATTTATTTATCTATCTTCCTGTATATAATTTTTAAGGTTTCACGAGACATAATCGACACTGGGATAGCACAGCGTACTCGCAATCCTTACAATGAGAAATCAAACAGTGCCAGAACAACGAGATAAAATTTATACTTTGTAGCAAGCATTTTAATAATATTCCAAATTATGTCTCAACAAAAAATAAATAATTTATAAAATATAATCTAATGTCGTATACAAATATTTACATTCAGTTCCATAAAATAATTATTTGCTCAATGGAAGAAAACAAACGAAAGACAATAGAACATTAATAAAAGATAATGTTATCTTGTTACTGACTATTTAAACTCAAGATTAAACATAGCAATACATGTCTTATAAATGAATTTAAAAATAAAGGAGCTTACCATATCTGAGAGAGTAGTGAACTTGTGACCTTCGTTTCTCAATTTGTTGTACAAACTTGGAATTAAATTTAGTTGAGGATCGCTTTTGAAATCACCTTCGGCCCATTTTTTCAAAAGACCCTTTGTTCTTTCTGCTATCTGCGGCTGGGAATGATTAACTAACTTTCTCAAATCGTTCTCAAAATTTCTCGATGCAATTTCCAGGTGAAACGTTTTACCACAATTGCTTACACACGCATCCAACAACTATATGTAAATCAATTATTAACATTAGGTATCAAAGCATATTTCGAAGACTGTTATTTCAAAGTAGGTTATTTTACAAAATATACTAACTGTTAACGCTTGTATAACAATGTGTGGATCGGGAGAATACAGTCTTTTGACAATCGATCGTAAACAATCCTTTGCACTTTGAGTAGAGGTTCCTACTTTGTCACAGATATCCATTATCTTCCCCCATTCTTCTGACATATTCTTCTCGCTAGTTGCTTTCTCTATTGCGACAAGCCATAATGGTGAAAATATAATACATAATGTAGTATAAATTAATAATTACGAAATAATATTTCAGTTTTTAATAACGGCTTCGCTATATAATTTATATGGTTCTTGGTACTGTATACTAATTCAATTGTTATGATCTATTGTTTTTCAAATCATTCACTGAAATCAGAGATTTTTATTTCAATATCCCTTATCTTGCTATTACTACAAATTAAAGAACAGTACATGCATAAATTATTGCTACATGCAAATTTTTTCATAGAGAAAAAAGACAGTGAGGAGAATAAAGTAATTTGTAAAATATGGAATATTAATGCTTTATGTTGCACTATAGGTGTACAAAATAAAAGCATTCATACTGATTGTATGCAAACTAAAATCGAAGATACTTTTGGCAACCACTAAGCAAGAATTAATGTTCGAAATGCCGACATAGACTTCTCTGCTTGCACAAAGGAAAAACAAATGTTTATACATTGCTTTGCTAGAAAGAACTGTTCACAACTTGTTTAATAATTTCACATAACACTAATCAGTGAAACACGGCTGAATACTTGTGTAACCATCGAAAGATGACGATAATGTAAAAATTTTAAAGAACATAGTCCTGGAATGGTTCTAGAGAAAAATTAAGGGAATTATTAAAGATTTACTGTTATCAACAGCCATATCACAGGTTATGTGTTACAGGAATTTGAATCGAGCCATGTTATTGTACGTGGTCAGCAAAGTGTTAATTGGAGGTCAAGTGTCAACAACCGCTTGGTGAGTCCGTTAAACGTAGAATCCACGATTTAAGGAAGAAAAAGACGAGGAGAATCGCAGAGGTTAACGAACTAGCTGTCACCAGAGGAAACATTGACTTATCGAGCGAACAACCGATCTGGAAGAGTAATTATAAGCGAATTAAGGCTAGGAACTAGGTTTATCACTCACCGACGTCAGCGTCGAAAGGCGAGGAGTTCTGGAAAAGACTCATCTCGATTCCTGGATTCGACGAAAGAGACACAGTTACGTCCTGTCACGGAATCGCGTTGCGTTTCCTCTTGCGCATCCAGCTGATATTTACTTACAAACACAAGACCGAATGACTAATAACATTCTAATCTACCATCGAAGGACATCTTTCTTTCGACCTGCCAAAAAAGCTCGATACTATCGAATCGCATCTCGAGCCAACGTCAAACGCGAACATTTAACGTCACCAATTTTCTTATCAAATGGTACATCGATGGTAGTGGTGTGGGAACTCGAAAGAAATTCTATATACTCGATGTTTTTAATGCGAGAAATGATCGAAAATGTTGAATATTTGGATAATTTGACTTTTAAGGGAACATATTGAAATGAACGTCGATAATCGATAGATCGAATGACGTTATTGAGGTTATACTATCGTCATCTTACGAGAGAAGTTTGAACTACTTTATCTAGATTATATTTATCTACCAATGTTAATACAGATCCGTGATGGCAGATTTGGGTCACGCTTGCGCATGCGCGCCGAGAAAAGCTGAGCGCGCAGTGCTGTAGCTATAGGAAACAATATATGATCCCATAGCAACGATTGGCGCCAAAATCATGAAAATCATTTTTTTAGTTATAAAAAATTTGTTTTGTCTGTAAAATTATTTTAACACCTATCTCTATGTTATAATTTATCCACACAATATTATTGTAGAAGTATTTCCAATTTTCATTTATAATTCTATTTCTCTTTAGGGCGACTAAGGGCACCAGTTTTATGGTCGTATTAGATACTTTACTGACGCAAAAATCAGTGCGCATGCACGACTGGGAGCCAAATCTGGCATTACGGATACAGATCGGAATCTGGGCCACTCAACTTAAATCTAATTAACGATTAACGATCGCGAGTACTAAATGTAATTGTAGGATGGGAATTATATTGCAACTGCGAAACGTAATTCTAGCTAACCATTACAGAATACATTCTGCACAGTTACAGTTATAAATAATATTTGCAATTAAAAATTCGAGTTGGTAATTAAACAAGGGATTGATAAGTTACCATACAATATATCAACATTCCTGTAAACATATAAAATGCACGATTTCAGAAAATTTTATATATTTTTTGGTCGTAGTAGATACGTCACTGACGCTAGGAACAGTGCGCATGCGCAGGTCGGAGTCACCTCCTTTCGCCGCAATTAAAAATTCAATTACAACATTTGCAATTAAAAATTCAAGTCAGGGCTTAAACAAGAGATTGATAAGTTAACATAATTTTAGAACTTTTTCGTACATTGCTGTAAACATATAAAATGCATGATTTCGGAAAATTGTATATATTTTTTGGTCGTACGTTACTGGCGCTAGAAACAGTGCGCATGCGCAGGTCGGAGTCACCTCCTTGCGCCACGGCTGTGAATTGGCGCCAAGATTTAAACGAATTTGAACAGTTTCGCGTTGAAAAAGTTTTGAGAATTAAGGATAAGTAAACGGAGACTGTTCGCAAGACAGCAAAAATTCTACAGAAGGGTGAGAAACAAAAGTATCTATTGGATATATTTTTAGATATTCTAAACTGATTACAAATTAATGCAATTAATGTTTCATGACTTGTGTTGTAGGCATTCGCAATCATAGGCTGAGGTCTATTGTTTGAAAGGCGTAGTTTTGAGAATATGGACAATTATGAAAATGTAGTACACGTTATACCAAACTGATGTCAACCTGCTATAGTTGAGGAAAGATTAAAATTTTTTTGATTACAAAGGAAGTTATGAAATGGTAAAAACTTATGCTTCTTTAAAAAGGTTTCACTCTCCTTTGTTTAAACACCTCTAGACAAATCCTTAAAGTAAATTTAAAACCGTATTGGTTTGGAATGAAAACTGTGACTTCTGGAATATAGACAAACAGCTACGTCTAATGGTGACCTCCATGGCAGCTGATATCTTCCACATTTTCCTAGGAAATACTTCCAAAAAATTTCAATATTTACTTGAATATGTGTATAAAATGTCCTCAAAGTTTCATTAAATTATATACATTCCCTTCTTGCTAACAAAATTCATGCAAATCACTAAAAAAACATATTCCTAAACCTATTTCTCCCCTTAATAGGTGTATCTCTCTTTAAATTAATAAAGTTGTCAAGTGTAATAAATGAATACTTCAAGATCAAAACTAACTTCTCTGAATCAATGAATGTAAACTAAAGAACGTATACTACTTTTAAAACCATGTACCTTCAACAAAATTGCAATATTACTTTAAATATATGCATAAAATATTTTCAAAGTTTTGATGCATTATATATATTTCTTCCTTGCCAAAAAAATATACTGATAACTCAAAAAATGTGGTCCCAAACCTATTTCTCTAAAATATCTACAAAAATATATGATCCGACGCCATTTATAATATTATAGAATAATATACTTGTTAAATAAGTAACTTTTATGATCTTCATTCACTTCAATTTATCATAAAATCACGTGCTATGGTATGTTGACGAGCTTTTGACGTTTCCATCAGATGATGTAGTCCAACATGGCCGCCAGCAATAATACATTTTTTATTTTTTTGTCCTCCACAACACAGCACCGTTGTCGTCTATCGTTGTCGCGGCGGTACTGAAGGTGGGGTGGAGGTTACATTGTTATGTTTAAACTTTCCACGATCCTCCCTTCCACAAAATAATGTTGTCATGTTATTGGTGAAACGAGACAGTGCATAAAGTCCAAGGAGGTGATTACGACCTTGTACAGTTTCAAAAAGCCAAGGTACACTTATGTTTCTACATACATTTCTTCGTAAATATTTGATAATAGTGCGATTAGCTTGATTCTCCGACATTTTCAATTCTCTATTACAATCTTCACCTCTTCGTTTAGTGTCCAAACAAATATTCTTTGTAGAAATGCAAGTCATATAAATAACATTCACACTTGTAAACTATAACCTGAGTATACTGGAGAGTTTTCTAATACATTCCATTAGTGTTTAACTATTTCTGAAGCCTCTCTTGAAAAAATCTTTATCGCCAATTCATATCTATCACAAATATATCCATGTTTATGAACTATAAACATTTTACAACTCAATACCGACTCTATTATAAATATCATAAGAAGAACTAAAAAAGAATTTCATATCTATCTATTCTTATGTACTATTACTATTATTATTACAAACTTTTAGGTTCCACTCTTACCAGACTTTCTAAAGCTGAAGCGCCTATACGTTAACTATACATAATGGGTCCTTTAATAACAAACATCAAATTCAACCCTACCTTTCGTTCTCTATGTACATGCGCAACCAGAGCATTTTCTACCAATGTAATGCTAAACCCTAAAGACGACGCTAAAGAAGTTACGCTGAAATATTTGGATGGGAAGGATAATGGTATTGTAGTCTTGGGATTAAACCGGCCAGCCGCTCGCAATGCGCTTGGAAAGAATTTAGTCAACCAACTGAGCGATGCTATTTCTTGCATCAAAGAAGACACAAAGTTGAGAGTGCTGATCGTTCGTAGCTTGGTTCCAAAGATATTCTGCGCCGGTGCAGATCTACGAGAAAGATTGAAGATGGATAATTTGGAGGTTTCCAATTTTGTTTCTTCGTTAAGAGACATTACCAATACCATAGAATCGCTACCGACTCCTGTGATATCAGCTATAGATGGCATAGCTGTTGGCGGAGGATTAGAATTGGCATTAGCTACAGATATTAGAGTCGCCGCAGCGGAAGCTCAAATGGGTCTCGTGGAAACAAAATTGGCTATTATACCAGGGGCTGGTGGTACACAGCGGCTTCCAAGAATAGTTGGGCCTGCCAAAGCAAAGGAACTCATTTATACATCGCGTATACTCGACGGTGAAGATGCCATGGAGATTGGTTTGGTAAATCAAGTCGTTCCACAGAACAAAGAAGGTGATGCTGCTTACCAGGTTGCTCTATCCATCGCCAGAGAAATATTGCCTAATGGACCGCTTGGAGTCAAGTATGTATCAATTATACATCAAATATGAAAATTAGTTAGAAAGAGATACATAACAATTTTTATGTAATTTATGCTCCGACAAATGATATTAATTTTTTATTTTTACTGTATCATAGGGTGGCAAAAGTTGCGATATCAAAAGGTTTGGAGGTATCCATCGTAGATGGACTCGAAATCGAAAGGCAATGTTACAACAAAATTGTGGACACGAAAGACAGAATCGAAGGACTGACAGCATTCGTAACGAAACGTGTACCTGTTTATCAAGGCATATAAAACCTGCAATAATCGACGTGCAATGCATTTTACAATTTTATTACGCTTAATTAACTAATACCAAGAAAGTGCATTTCTATACTGAAGTTAAACATGGAAACGGAATATTCTTTTATTATTGTTTTCTAATATGACTAATTTTACTATAGGTACGTTTAGAAAATATCGAACATATTTGCATTTATAGGAAGTCGTATAGTCATTGTACGAGATGAGTCGATAGTATTTCCCATCTCATCGAACAAAATTATTTTATCGACTCCTACGTAACGAACTTGCAATATGAATGGTACTTTGAAATATTTCATACTCTACTCTTCTTTTGAGAGAAAATTATATGTATCATTTTTACCTTTTGTTAAACTTAAAATTTGTATAAAGTATGGGTGTGAGTGTGAGTATAAGTGAGGAAGAGGGGAAATATGTACATGTATATATATATATATTTTTGAAAATAATATTACTATATTTATAATAGCGACTTTTATTTCACCTCCTGCTTTTATAAAAGTAATATGCAATCGAATCAGTACGAATAATTTTATATTATTATTTTACAATTAAAAGTAAACGTACTGCTCTCAAACTACTCTGTTTATATACATCTGCTATATTTATAATACCGATTTTTATATCACTATTTGTTCTGCAAAACTAATTTGCAATCGAGTACTTTTATATTTTTTATTTCCTCATTTTTCATACAACATCGATAAAATATTTAAATGCATCTTAAAGATTATTTTTATCAAAACTTTGTTGATTGATATTTTTCTTTTTTGTGCAACTGAACTTTAAAAATAAAATCATCGAATTTTAGTTTTACAAAAATAAAAATATTTAATTTTATTTAAAAAGACTGGGATCGCTTGCAAAGTCTTTGATGGGAAATTGCACAATGTATAACATAAAAACTGGAATGATCAACAGTAAAAAAAGGCTGATAATCATGTAAAACTGAACCTTGAGTATCTTAAGTAAAATATTTCATCCGTTTGATATAGGATGAATTAAGCACATTGCATGGGAATGGCGAATTGTTCTTTCTCTTTGTTTTCTTTAACGAGCGCCATAAGAACATTCAGCTGATTGATCGTATCCTCTGGACAGGTCACACGATGACCAACAGTCAAGTCGCTTTCATAAATCTCATAATCATTTTCACCTTCCATTGTTTTATCTCCAAAGAAATGTATCTCATCATAGCCTTGAATATGTCTGAGGCAGTATGTCTTGTCCCATCCAATAGGAAAGATGTCGAAAGATATTTGACCTCCTATATATACAAGTTAATAAAAACTATCTCTATTGTATCATCATTGGAGCAATAATATTTAATATTACAAGTTTTTCTCAGAACTTATCCATCATTCAACAAGTACAAATTTTACTCACCGATACTATACGTTAAAGCAAGATCTGGAAATTGTTTCTTGAGAGCAACGATGAACTTTCGACGTATTTGGTGCTCGATATCGTATTCGAAGAATTGAAGACGTTCTTCTAGGGTGCAATTACGACCAACGGGTGATACATTGATTATTCCTTTTCTGAATTCTATAAAAGTTCCACGTTTGAACGGTAAATGTAATTCAGATATGTATTTCAAGCAGAAGTTTATCAAATCCTGCAATGCTTCTTCGCCAATATTACTTTGAATCGTCTGCAACAAGAAATGAGCTTAATTTAAACAATTTTATGATTCTTTCGCAAAAGTTTCTGATTTTATCACTCACCTCTGTGGGTAACTCTTTGCCATCTTTGAAAGCAATGAGCCCATTTTCAGCAAAAACATATTTATATTTATCGAATATGCTTTTACCACCCAACTGCTCTTTGATCTTGTCTAAATCTGATCCGCCAACTACAGCTACATCAAATTCGTTCCGAACAGTCTCCAAGAGGAACTTTTCAACGTGTGGCTTGATCGGCTAATAAAAAATTCAAGATATAATTGGAAAAATAAGATTTCCATATTTTGTAACAAAGAAAACATACTTGTCTAGGATTGGTTAGCGTGCCATCCACATCGAATAAACATATTATTTTCTTAGACATAGTAGAATAGTTTAATCCGATGGATCTGCAAACATTATATTTTTAATTAGTTTTTTAATTTAAAAAAAGAAAACTGTATGCAACAAATTCAAATACAGAAAAACATTAATAAAAAGCACTCAAAAATATACGTTCGAAATTAATACCAAAAACTGTATATTAGATTGCTATGTCGTTTTTAAAATTATGTTTTGTTAAAATCATATTGTATTTCTTTCGGTCTGAAAATTCATTAGTCATTTTCTCTTTAGTCTCTCGTATGCTTTCATCTATAATATTCAATATCGATATCAAAATATAAAAATTTACATGATTCATTATTAAATATCCTATTGCACTAAACTTGTTTTCGATATCCTGTACATTTAAAAGGGTGAAGTACTAAAACATTCCTCCAGAAAATCAACATTTTTTTCCTTACAAAGTAATTTAGGAGCATGCATATCGAATCAACTCTGGCAATCCTTGAATTGTAAATATATTTTACAAAACTTGTAAATTTCATGCTACGTACAACGAGTAACTTTAATGTTTGGATACTTATCAATCTTTACTTTGTTGCTTTGGAATCTTGTCTATGTTAAAGTAAGAAAATCACGACTCTAAAAGTACTTCTTTAGCAAATTGTAATCAATAGATATCGATGAAACTTGTTTACTTCAAGAACATCATGATTCTATAGATTCTTCTTCAAGAATTTATGATCGATAGATATCGATGAAACTTATTTGCTTCAAGAATATCATAATTCCAAAGATTTTGTTTGAACCATTTGAAATCGATAGCTATTAATGAAACATATGAATATTTGCTTTAAGTACACCATGATTTAACATATTTCTCTTTAACAATTTGAAATCCACAAACTTTATATTTTTGTCAATTAGATTGATGATTTAATGCAATATGTACTTCAATTATTTTTTATCCCAGTTACAAAGAGACAAAGTAAAAATTGTAAAATGTCAGAATATTAAAGTTACTCACTTTATGCTAAAAATTAATACCAGGAACCGTCGCTATGTTACTTTAACTATTAAAAGTGCTGCGGTTCGAAGGGAGTATGCCGTGTATTTCTAAGTCACGTGCAAACCTATTCACATCATTATATATTAACAACCTCCCCCCTCCACGGTTATTATGACAATTCTCTTAAACAGATTTTGAAAGATTCGACAAATTTCTTTTTATGAACGGAGTGACAATTTCTAGATTGATGAATAGGAGAAGAGACTGACGGTTTGAAATATGTTTGAAATTTACCAAAATTGTAAAATTCATCGCTAATAATTCGACTTTCGCGACACGTCACTTGTGTATCATAACCTATTTGTCCAAGTTGCGCTGTATGGATGTAAAACGAAAAGAAAATACACGAGCATGCACGACTATAGCAAATATATATTTTACTCCAGTAAAGCTATAGTTTCTCCAGCTTTCACCAATCTTAAAATGAATCCAGTATTGTGAATGAAAGTACAGAAAATAAATAGTACCGAACGACAGTATATTGCAGTATATCCACTGATATCCACGACGTGGCCAGATTAACGGGTTCTTCGTTTCGTTACTATCTGTTGAAATCGAGATGATAAAGAGGATTTGGAGGAATAAATTATATTGCTTTATCTACCTTATCTTATTAGAGTTACGCAATTTAAATGCAAACATCGCGACGCCTAAAAATGCGCTCTTACTTTTGGGTAAAATTCGGTCACTATGGACTCGTTATTAAGTTTCATTCGTATTTTATTATTATTAAATGAAGTTTATTTGCTTTAAGAACATTATGATTTCAACTAAGGCTTTCAGGTGTAGGGTATGTTCTTTGGATAAAATACTCAGATATTTCTAACAAATAATGATCTATCTCTTACCAAAAAATAAAACCAAAAGATCAATTGTTGGCAAAACCCTCTCTCTTCGTTCTCAAATTCATCGATGTCATATATTTGAAGTCTCTGTACAACTCTAATCTTATGCATTGTAAAGATGTTTAATTTTGGGTTTTTCTTACCGATGAAACTACAATAAATAATGCCAGCTGAATTCACCAATTCTATCGATAATATGAACTATTGTATGAGTATATGTACCTTAAAAGACCCAAGCTATGATAAATACTACTATCAATGGATGCTGAGACAACTGTTCTCCAACTGTCAAGTGATTCTCTTGGATTCTATGCTTTGATTTCTTTTGATCCCATTCCATGTGCCTAGATGAATCGAAGGAGAGAATCCAAGAGAAACTGCTCAATACATCCAGAAGCCTCTGTTAATAATGAACATAAAAAATTAGGTCAAAAAAGGCTTGAATATCTTAATTTAAGGATAATTTGAATACGAAATTAGGAAATGCCTCGATAATAGATAATAATTAAAGTTCACAGGTTAATAATAAGATAAGAAAAGCGATTAAGAAAAAACTCATTAAACAATCTGAATTGTAAGTCACACGAAACAGAATTGCAAATTGCTAATTGTATTTTTATAACAAATATAATTCATGCAAAAAATACGACACCTTTTGCGAATCTCTTTTTTTCATATGGTTGTAAATACGAATCTCTTTCTAATAAAGATATAATATCGACGTGTCGATCCATGAAGAAGTTTTTTATCTAAATATGCCTTACACCTGCAAATTTTAGTTGAAACCTAAGAGCCTCCGATGTCTCAATTTGTGAATGATCACTGTAACAATTAATTTAATTTTTCTACAGCCGATGATGGAGGGTTTGAAATGCGATCCTATTTGAATAAAATTTGCCAGACACCTAATTTAGATAATTTGGCAAAAGAAAGTTTGCTATTTAACAATGCGTATTCTTCCGTCAGCAGCTGTTCACCTAGGTACAGCTTCTTGAAAATATTTTAGAAAGTGTAGTACGCTTCGTTCCACTTGCAAAGAAGTGTAATACATAGTATAGTATATGTATAAGTGTAGTACATAGAATGTAGGCGTCTTTTTTGCATTTCACAATCATTTTTATAACTTTCTCAAAATTTCAGTCGTTCCTCTTTACTCACCGGTTTACCATGTCATCAAAACGGAATGTATGGTCTTCACCATGGAATTCATCACTTTAATTCATTTGAAAATGTGCAGAGCTTACCAAAAATATTAAAGAAAAATAATATACGGACAGGTATGTTTATATAAATTGTATAATAATAATCACAAAGCCTAATTTATAATGTTTTTATATGTTTCGCAGGTATTATTGGTAAAAAGCATGTAGGACCAAACAGTGTATATCCCTTTGACTTTTCGCAAACAGAAGAGAATAATTCTATACTTCAAGTTGGTCGCAACATCACTAAAATCAAACTTTTGGTGAGGGAATTCCTCTCCAACAATGACACAAGGTATGGATTTATTGTCTTTTATAACTTTTGCGAAAGAAGTATAAAATTCAGAGATATTGAAATTTTGGCCAGCAACTTTACAATATATATCAGCAAATTTAATAGCATAAGTAGTTCGAATAGAGAAACTATAGGAACTGTACAAACTGTACAAACTATACAACACTATACAATTTATATAACAAACTATACAAACTAGCAATAGCAAACTTACTATCGTAAGTAGTTTGAATAAAGAAAGAAGTAGATAAACGTTAGTTCTGAACTTTTCAGGCCCTTCTTTTTGTATGTTGCATTTCATGACCCACATCGTTGTGGTCATTCTCATCCGGAGTATGGAAACTTTTGTGAAAAATTTGGTAACGGAGATGTTGGCATGGGTAATATCCCTGACTGGTATCCAATATACTATCAGTGGGATCAAGTGAAAGTTCCTTATTTCGTTCAGAATACAGAAGCTTCTAGGCGAGACATTGCTGCTCAATATACAACTATTTCTCGGTTAGATCAAGGTATTCTTACAATCTAACAATCCCAGATCTTTATTAACTCAAAAGTGAAGCAATATTCTTTTATTATAAGAACAAAATGTAATAATATAACTCTTCGTTCAGTTTCATTTACAAACATTAAGTTCTTGTCGATACACTGACTACATACACAATTTTTAGATTGCATGATGTACCGACTAGGCCTAATTACAATGCTACAGGGTGATCCGCTGTCTATTGTGTCTACTAGCAAGCAGAGCACCCTGTATATATATTAGTTTTCTAGCTTTATATTTGCATGTGTAATAAAATGTGATAAAAGTAACGTGTGAGAGAACTAATGACAGAAGATTGAAATTTTAAAGGCATAGGTTTAGTTCTGAAAGAACTGGAAAGCGCTGGTTTTAAGGATAACACATTAGTGATCTATACGTCTGACAATGGTATACCATTCCCTAATGGGCGAACAAATTTGTACGAGCCAGGTAATATTAAAACCATTTATTACATGAGATTAAAAATTACTATATAAGAATATTTAACTTTTTACCAAACTGTTAGGTCTGGCGGAACCTATGATGATCAAATCACCAATCCATAATCATAGAAAAAATAGCGTAACATATAGCTTAACATCTTTATTGGATGTTGTTCCAACATTATTGGACTGGTTCGATATACCCTATAAGAATCAATATTCATTCAATACGAATGAAGTATTTCCTCTACAGTTAACAGGCAAATCGCTTCTTCCTCTTCTCATCGAAGGTACACTTAGTCGACAAGCTATTTACTTTCACGATTAAGACATGTTTTACTATTAATTTATTCTCGATCTTCGATGCAGAGCCAATAGAAAACAACACTGCTATTTTTGCTAGCCAGTCGCATCATGAAATTACCATGTATTACCCCATGCGTGCTATCAGAACCAAAAGATATAAACTTATACACAATATTAATTACAAAATGCCCTTTCCCATTGATCAAGACTTTTATGTTTCTCCAACATTTCAGGTAATCCAAAAAAAAAGTAAAGTTACAATATTGCATGCACTTATTATTTCCACTTACAAAGCGATGTTTATACTACTTATGTAATCATTGTTTAAATTTGTTATATTTAAAGGACCTCTTAAATAGAACCAGAAACAATCAACCACTTATGTGGTATAAAACATTACAAAGTTATTACGAGAGACCCGAATGGGAATTATACGATTTAAAGTATGATCCAGAAGAAAGAAATAATATTGCCTCCAAGTTATTTGTAAAGGTAGATACCACAGGAAATGTATGAATTTCAGAACATGTAATTTACTCAAACCTTTCGTTTTTAGGAAATATTTACTGATTTACAAAAACGATTATTCGAGTGGCAGAAAGTAACAGACGACCCATGGCGTTGCGCACCAAGAGGTGTTCTCAATGATAAGACTAAATATTCTCAATGTATGCCACTTGAAAATCTTCTTTAAATATAATATACCTAATTCAATTTTTGCAATGAAGATTTTATATCAAATGTATTATAAGGACAAATAAAAATCAGTTTCGACAGGACCTGTTAACTACACAAGGTTGGTTATAATCAAACAGTGAAAGGACTACAAATAAATGAGTATTACCAGACATTTTCTACGTTCCTTTTACCAATAGTGCTACACTCTTTTTAAACTAGGATCGATTTCACTTTCTTCCTATGATACATTTTATACAAGGTGATTCTGTTGCTACTGTCTCACAAAATCTGACATGCAAGCATTGCAACTATAATTCTGTTTGTACATACGATGGATAAGAGAATGACAGCTCCGCTTGTAAACTACAGAACCTCACTAAACTCTAACGTTACGTTTGAAGTTGTTTAGCAACAGTATCGCCCTGTATATAATTGGATTTACATACAAAGTTTTGGAGTTCACTAATCGATCAGGACATATTATATAGAATAATTTATTAAACTTATGTGGACATCGATACTCAATTAATCTAATACTTTCTTTTAAGTATACTTGCCGCAGTAGTTTACAATGGAAGAACAGTGTGCGGCATAGAAATATTTTTTATGTCTCTGACCCGATGGTTCAAAAGTATCTCGTTCAATCGATGAACATACGTCGACGACTTATTTGCGGATTTTTCTACTGCTCTTAGTTCTGTCGAGATTTCATTCATCTAATGCACAAGAGAATCGATTAAAATTAATAACCAGGCATTAATAGCGACATGAATTTTATGTCGATATTAGAGTGATGTCTTACATATTTTTTATATCCCAAATATCTGTTGTACTTTTGATTGTTATTGTAAATCTGTTTGACTTGTACCATGAAGACGAGACACAGTAAAAGACCACCGAGCAATACGAGCAAATTTGTGTTTTGGAAACTGCGTAAAACGAGCATTACTCGTCTAGGTTACGATTAGAGGTTAGAAAATTTGATCGTCTGGCAAAATCTCGAGAAAAATATATTAAAAAAATATTATTTATTCAAATCTATTTATACAAATATTAGGAACTTCATGTCACGTTATTATAGTTAATCATCCGCGTGAACTCTAATCAAACATCGTCGAATGTATATTGTGTACTGTGTATAAAAGAAATTCACGTAGCATTGTTGTACAATTGTTAGGTTGCGTGCGTAAGTAGCGTAAGTTAGTGGGGATAGAAACATAACGACGCCATCGTTGTTACGGGATCTGCTTGTGATTGGCTCCCGTTCGCGCATGCGCGTCAAGAAAAGCTGAGCGCGCAGTCCTGTAGGCAGTGATGAGTAAAACCCTAGGCCTCGAATTAATTTGAAGTTTGTCGATGTGTTTGTCTCATTTCCTTCTTTAGAAAATGTTCAAAAAAGGAAACGGGACAACATATAGGCAAACTTGAGATTTATTCGAAGCTTACGGTTTTGCCCATCACTGGCTGTAGCTATACAGGGTGTCCGAAAACTGTAGCTAAGACGATTCTGAACAACAATTTCCTTTGCAAAAATGTCGGTGGGGGCTTAATTTTTTAATTAGGAACGAAAAACACCGACCAATCACCGCACGCGCTCAGCCGTGAGAGCATATGCTCGAGCCACGATTGGCTGGTTGCGCCAGGTCGCTGCGTAGCCAGCTTAAGGCGTGCTAATCGGGCGCTGTAATTGGTCGGTGTTTTTCGTTAATAATTAAAAACTGAAGCCCCCGTCGACATTTTTGCAAAGGAAATTGTTGTTCAGAATTGTCTCAGCTACCCATTTCTGGCTCCTACGCGAGTTTTGGGACACCCTGTATAAATTTAAAAATCTATAAATTTGTATTTTTTATGTAATGAACCATAATAAAGAAGTGCATTAGAATTAAGAAGTCATTTTTTTTCCTTATCAGTTAATTGTATATTATAAGGAAACTCTGCATGATTAACTAATTCTAGAGGCACGTAATTTTATACATTATTTTCCCTTCTATAGGCATAATACTTAACCACAGGTTTTTCAAATTCAAATCTTTCCATGTATACGTTAGTGGTTTGGCATGTTTTTTTGTTTGACTCTTATACCGCTTTGAAACATTTCTTGTACGATATGCAGTATTGCTATTTCTGTTAATATTACTTATTTGTATAAATAGATTATTATTAATTCTGTTTTGAGATGACGGCTGCAAGTGCACTTTTCCATCGCAATGTACTCTTATTGTCTAACGTAATTGCACCAAGCGATGAATTTAATACACATTTTCATAAGGTATGTACTTTAATTCGAAATAACAATGCTAATACTTTTAAATATGATATTTGATTAAGCATTTGTGTAACTATTCATACGATTCTTGTTATTTACAGGGTATGTTCGACAAACCCAACACGACCGGTTTTATACACGTTTCTCATTATTTGTTAACGATATACGATTCTGAGCGTTTTAAAAAATTAGTCGAATGGCCAGTAATTTGTAAAAAGACCGAAGTGAAATATCGTAACACTGTCAAAGATTTTTTAAAAGTTGTGTCGTTGGAAAATCCTGATATGCGCTTTCCAAATATACTTACATCTCATTTAATTCACGCTGGTGGAAAAAAAGTTACCATCATCATGTGCAAATTGTCAGAAGTGGCGATGAGAAAGTATTTAATTACTTCGCAAAGTAAGATAGGTCTTGCGAAAAGATTTTTTTCTTTAAATGTAATTTCTTGTAGATAGTAAATTGTTGTGGTAATACGTCATATGTGTTTCTTATAGGTAATTATAATGTTATTCTTGCACCTCAAGGAAGAGAAGGAGGAAGTTTAGGAAAAGAGTTTTTACAAAAGACTAATGCTAAACGTTGTTCTAATATTTCAAACGTACATGGAAATTTATCAGCAATGAGCAAAACTACTGAAACTATTTTAAAGTAATGTTTTCGAGTTGTAGTATTTACACGCCTAAGTTATAATTTCACATAAGAATTTGATTTGATTATCTTACTTTCAGAAATGAAAAGAAGATATTAAGTGACATTAGAATGGAAATTTTTAAAACTGAAAAATTAATTACAACTATTTCGAATGATGCTCCTGTCCACCCTTCAGTTAAAAAACGCATTACGGATCCAAACGACGAGGATGTGATACAAAGTTGACGTCGTTCCATTTATTCCTCTAAGCAAATTAGCGGGTATCATACTTTTTATTCTAATATCCAAAACTAAACGTTATTTTTTAAATTTCAGTGTGGAAAAGTAATATAAACGATAGTTTGAATTACTTAAAGAAAAAAAAAACAATTTTAAGAAATATGGAAGAACTTAGTTGTAAGATAATAAATGTAATGCCAAACAACAGTAGCGATACGAATATTTTAGATGCAAAGCAATTACAAAAAGTGAATTACCTGGGAATTTCAGAATTATTTCCTCATGATATACAAGTAAACGCTCCTAAATAAAACTATAATTATTATTAAAAGGTAAAGAACTAATAAACAAACTTTCAAATTTTAGTGTCTCCTGTTTCAGTTATATAAAGACGAAAAATTAGTATTCCATACATTTATTTTCTTATTCAATTTATTATTAACTCGATTGCATCAACGACTGAGCTCAACTCCACCAGAGAATTTTTCCAAATGTTTATTGCAAATAGGAGCAAGTTGCGAGGATATGAAAAAAGCGTTAACTATTTTTGAAACGTATTTGTTGGATGTTACGAAAAAGTTATCCGAGACAGAGAATATTTTACACCAGACGAATGTAGTAAAAATTCATGATGATACTGTATCACCTATAATAAATAATGTGCTTTTAATGGCATCGCCTGTTATAAGAATTGATACCGATAGCAATAACGAAGAGAGCGATTTACAAAAACTAGTACAATTTACTCCAGTAGAAGGTAGAGTTTATACTATTTACGAGACTGTTAATAACATCGAACCTGTAATACCATATTTAAAACTACTTTTCAGCTGTGCGTAAGTCATTATTTTCACGATACGAACGTTTAAAGGAAAACTATACTCCGCGTGAATTGGAGTTGGAAGAAAATTTGTTGGTGACCCGAATTAATTTCGACGATACAATTATGTCTGCGAGTAATGAGAAGTCGCGTTTACGTACAATCTCAATGTCGTCTAAAAAGTGTTTGTCACCCTTTAAACATACAGAAAAATATTCCCGATTGTTTTCTACTCGCGTAAAAAGGACTAATAGAACAGGTTTGGCAATGTTCATATTTTAATATTCATTTTTTTTTCTATCGTTATTATTTCACGAACAAATATAATTCTTTTCCACAGCAAACTCAAGTGTAATCTCCGCGCCTGGTTCTTCGAAAGCACACTCGACCGCGATCATAAATGCAATTGAGGAAATGCACATATCGGAACTCGGCGTAAACATTTCTACAAACAGCGTAGAATTCGTCACTTCCGAGAAGTGTCCTATCGATCATCAAGACAAATTTAAAGATATATCGGATTTGAAGGACATAGTGAACGACCTTCCAAGTAAACCGGATATAGAAATTACAGGCAACTGCGACAATAATATCGTGGGAACGAAACAGAAAGCACAACGCAGATGTTCGATTGGAGACTTAGTCGAACGTTACAAGAAAATACTCGAGCGCAGCAATCGTACATCAAGTACACTAGAATAGATTACGTAAATAGCAAAAAGTGAAACATAATTATATTATATGAGTATATAAATATTTCATTCGATAGCAATATTTATTTTTATCTCTAACTCATTATAAATAATTAACACGAAAATCATTAAAATTATTCATTACCAGTTTTATGTTAAAGTGTTTTATATTGACATGTTTCAAAAAGTATTTGTAAATAAACATTTCTTATATAAAATCAATATTATCTTACTAATCCTTTATTATTAATTAATTATATATTTGTTTCTTATTTAAGTATTATACCGTATAACTATGTGCGAGTTAATAGAAAAAGTAAAATAATAACATCAGAGATATTTACATTTGGTCTATCATATCACAATCTTTTAAATTACGCGGTTCAATCGATTTCGAAAGTATTTTCATAACAGGATTTATTTACCATTTGCTTTACCTCTCTATACTTTCTTTTCAATGCATCTGGATCAGCTAAAAATAGTTGCCAAAGCACATTTTTTTCATGTTCAAAGCCTAGGGCATTCTTCTGCAAGAAAGAATTCCAATTATTACACAAAGAATAACGTTTTCCGTCCGTATACATATCGCGCATGTTTCGGTTTACCATTTGTTCTTTCATTTGATTTCTTGTTTTTGTTAGATCTGTTTGTATCTTTTGTAAATGATCAAATGCTTCCTTGTAGCACGTTTCAACTTCGTAGGAAAGTGGTTTGAAACTGTACGTCGGTCCCTTGTGCATTTCATTTACGTATTGGAGATTTACATCATTTTCCCTAAATTAGAACATTTGAACGCTTACGATGCTTATCAAAGTTTACTTCTTCACAAAAAAGAAAAAAAAAGAGTAAAACTTACAGTGTTTCCAATTTATGAATTTTGGAATTTAAATAAGTTTCAAATATAAATTGTTTCTTGTTCTTATTTTCGTCCAAGAGCTCGTTATACCTATTTAACGCAGAATTTAATTCCTGTACATTGATGCCACTGGATATCATGGAAACTAAAAGATTGTTAAATGAATTATGCGGTTTCGGCGAAGACGATGTGACTGCCAAGTATTCATCTTGCTGCTGCTGCATACTTTTCTAGATAAAAAAAGAGAAAAAATCAGACATCATAAACCATAAAAATCTAAACGAGACTTTATATATTGTTACTAACACATCTGGCAGAAGATAGCGAATACTCCATTGTCAAATAGTGGCAAGCACTAGCCACAAATTCAGAAACGGTTTGAAGACGGTGATATTGCATTTGCATCACCATATTTAACAAATCGGCGCGTACGTGTCCAGACTCACAAGCAAGAAATCGAAAGTTTTTGAGTTTTTCTAAGCGTATAGTTTTTTGCTTCAATTTTGACTCGGCATTTTGTTTTAAAATTTTAGTTATTTCTAATTCGGCAAAATCTTGTATAACTTCTGACAACTGATGTTCTTGCAACAGAAAGACATTCTCCTCTAAGTAATCTCTCTTTTTAGTTAACTCCGAAATTTCAGTCCTACAATGGTTATATTTATTATATTGTGCTTTACGTAATACAAATAATCTGTGATGTTTAAATAACTTATAAATACCTTAACTCAAAGTTTCTCGGTACTTTTACATTTCCCAAGTTGTATATATCTTGGGCATATTGTAACATCGAGATACATGATTCATATTGTATTTTAGCTGTAACTTCTTCCATTTTCGCATTTATGATGCTTTAAGACAAAGTATGAATTATTGTAAATTAACGCATATAATATATATTTTACTTACTAATAATTACAACAAATCACCTACTATGTTTTGAAATGCATCAGTTCCTGTAACTCATCGTAATCCATATGTTTTTCTTTACTCTTGTCAATCAAAGAAACATAATTAGAATCTTTCTCTTGACTATCCTTGTATCCATTTTCAAATTGTTGTCTTATGTGAACACCTAAGTAATGGTTATAAAGTTCTATTTTCTTAATGAAAAGTTCCAATGGCATTTGGGTCCACAGCACAGGCGCTCCTTTCTATAAATAAAATTATTCATACCGCTACGAATTAAAAAAAATTATTTAAAATTACCTACATTTTCTGCTGCATCCCCATAGACGTTCAATAAGTATTTAATTTCTTTTAAAAATTCGCAATTATTCGAATCAAGTTCTTGAAGAATTACTGAACAATCTTTATACATTTTATCCACTTCGATATATTTCTTGTCCAATAATGTTTCCTCTTTCTCAATGTTCTCGTCTAATTTATTCTTTAACTTTCTGTAATATTTCATTTAAATATATAATAAGGATGAATATATACAAATTAAAATACAAAGAGATACAAAGAGGTCATGTTACTTTAAATTTTGAATTCCATTTTGTAACGTGCGAATGTAACTTTCATCTTCCTCGTATGATTGTTTTACTATTTCAAATTCTGCGAACAGATCATTTATGTCCTCGTCATCGAAACAAGTAATTTTTAATAAATCAGGGCAATTCCTAGTTGCTTCTTCCAGTGCATTATCTAATTCGATATCTTCCAACCATTCGTTTGTACTTTGTAATTTGTTCTTTCTGAAAGACCAAATCGTCAGAAAAAATTTACAAAGCATTCGTGTAATGGTCGAATATTAACGCACGAAACTTATTTATATATAAAAATCTCATTACATTCGAGCTTCTTCGTCTGAAATAACGTTGACGCGATTCACGTTCTCGCAGAACCATTTTAAAAACGGTTGGACGAAAGGCTCGTCACAAATTTCATCCAATATCTCCGGCGTAATAGAACTCGAAAGCTCTGGACGCAAATTTCGAACTTTATCGTAAAGGACTTTTCCAGACACGTTCATGTTTTTGGTACAAACTTTCAAAACAATATTCCTCGAACGCCGTTGAACCAATTACAAAAATTTTCCCGCGTCTGCGCACTCGATCGTATTGTATAGCCTCGACTAGTAAAAAGTTTCAATGAACGGACTATATAAATTTAGAAATCTACAAATTTGTATTTTTAATCTAATAAATTATAATAAACAAATGCGTTAGGATTAAGACAAAGTATGTAACCGTGAATAATTACATCGTTTCATTGTGTATACATATATACATACAGGGTGTCCCAAAAATGTTGTAACACCTTGAAAGAGGTGGTTCGGGAGGTGATTTGAAACAAGTTTTTCCTTAGCGAAAATGTTGTCCGAGGCTTTGTTGAGGAGATATTAACAGAAAACCCCGACCAATCAGAGCGCGCGTATACCGTTGTCCAATGTCCTTCGATGCACGTCGAGTCGCTTGTTCGCGTACAAATGCGGTCGCTTAGCACATAGCCTTCGCTACCGCGGTCGCTCCAACGGTATCCGCGCGCTCTAATTGGTCAGTCTTTTCCTTTAATATCTTCTCAACGAAGCCTCGGACAACATTTTCGCTAAGGAAAAACTTATTTCAAATCACTTCCCGAACCACCTCTTTCAAGGGGTTGCAACATTTTTAGGACACCCTGTATTTCATTGTTACTGACATTGTTATCTGCCTGTGATTGGCTCCTGTTCGCGCATGCGCGTCGAGAAAAGCTGACCGCGCAGTGCTGTAGCTATAGGAAACAATGTAAGATTCCATAGCAACAGTTGGGGTCAAAACCATGAAACCCGTTCTTTTAGTTATAAAAAATGTATTGTGTCTGTAAAATTATTTTAACCCCTATCCCTATGTTATAATTTATCCACACAATTAATATTATTGCATGCTAAGATGTGTTTCCAATTTTCATTTATAATTCTATTTTTCTCTGGGGCAACTAAGGGCGACAGTTTCATGGTCGTATTAGATACTTTACAGACGCTAAAACGAATTCGCATGTGCGACTGAAAGCTAAATCTGCCATCGCAGGGTTCTGCCGACCGAATGGCATCTCTCTTCTACATGCGTACACGGCTTCATACGTAAAGTTTCTAGAAATCGCATTGTCTGCTTGATATGTGTCACGTGACAACACAACCATGTGTCTTTTGCTCCTCAACATGGCTACCGGTAAAGGGCTCGCGATCGTTTTCCGACCAAAAACTATCAGCTTCATCAACAAGAGTACTTTAAATAAATTGTCGTGCACTATCATCCAAAGATGTGGTGCATGTCATCGAGCCGTCACAACAGTAGCGTTGGGTGTCCACAACTGGAACTCGAAAAAAACAGGAAAATGTAACGTATACCTTTGACCACGGAGAATACAGATTACATCACTCGTTTTACTGATAAATGCCAGTTGTTTTCTATTTATTTTCCCCTGCCAATACGTCGGAGTCGTTCTGGTACATCCAGACGACATCCTATTCTTGATTAACGCATACTTTTACAAACGACCTGTAAATTATTATTTATGCTTTGGTAAAGAGTTACACCAAGTTGAAATCTAACCTCACTTGTCGCTACACATGTTTCTTCTAGCTGGCTTTTTTTTGACACAGTTTTGTTTATACATTGCTTCTCTAACAAAGTATTTAAAGGGGGAAGTAGGTTTAGGACTACGTTTTTTAGCGATTTGCATGAATTTTTTTAACAAGAAACGAATGTATGTAATTTAATGAAACTTTGAGGACATTTCATACATGTATTCAAGTAAATATTGTAATTTTTTGAAAGTATTTCCTCGGAAAACATAGAAGATATCAGCTGCCATCCATCGAAGGTCACCATCAAACGTAACTGTTTTGTGTACATCCTGGAGGCCACAGTTTTGATCTGAAATCAATAGGGATTTAAATTTACTTTTAAAAAAATGTCTCTCTTCTATAAGAACCTAAATTCAGAGCAATATCATTGTTTAAAGTATCTTTTTATTGCAATAACATTTGCGTAAGCACCTCTAAAAATATTCAATATTCAATTTTTTAGGGAGAATTTAGGTTCATATAGAAGAAAGACATGTCCTTAACCCTCCGACACTGGTGCTGGGTCACTTTTCCGACATTAATTTCAAAGTCCTATTTCTCTGTCATTGAGTGTGTCAAGCCATGTGTTTACATTGTAACTTTATCCGTAGCAATCGGCACTCCCCACTATTCTAACTTTTAGCGACAGAAACGTTTTGAACTTTATTGCAAAAGAAGTTGTTTTCGGGACAAAATATTAACAAAAAAAATTGGTTACGAGGCATTATTAATATGATAATAATATTTGCATATAAAAATTTGATTTTAAGCCTTCTTTTGTAGCGCGTATGGACTTGAATTTCGATGCCTGAATAGTGACCCAGCTCCGTCGTTCGTGCGAGCGCCCGCTGTCCGAGGGTTAAAGTAAATTTAAATCCCTATTGATTTCAGATGAAAACTGTGGCCTCTAAAATATACACAAAACAGCTACGTCTAATGGTGACCTCCATGGCAGCTGATATCTTCCATATTTTCTGAGGAAATACTTCCAAAAAATTACAATATTTACTTGAATACATGTATAAAATGTTCTCAAAGTTTCATTAAATTATATAGATTCCCTTCTTGCTAAAAAAATTCATGCGAATCATTAAAGAAACATAGTCCTAAACCTATTTCCCCTCTTAATAGATGTATCTCTCATTAAATTAATAAAGTTGTCAAGTGTAACAAATGAATACTTCAGGATCAAAATTAACTTCTCTGAATCAATGAATGTAAACTAAAGAACGTATACTAATTTTAAAACCAAGTACCATTTCAGCCAGTTGGCTATCACTTCTTTGTAACGTAATTAATTGTTCTGCAGCAAATTTGATTCCTATAATTATATGTACACATGTGTATGCTTCACAAATTTTTACATAAAATTGTATTAAAATGGTGTAAAATAAGACTAATTTTAATATCGATGAGAAGCCATGCAATCGAAGATCAATTTATCTATATTTTGAATATACCCTACATTAGTTCTTTGATAAGATTCTTTAATGAGCTAGCAACTCCCCTCAGTTTCACAAATATTTAACAAATTCTTTACAATTAACATAAAATATTTTCTGAAAAATTTTGTTGTGCGTCTCTCTGATTTAAAATGTATTTTAAATACAAATACAGATGCGATTGAAAATTTAATGCAATCAAGAGGAATACATACCACGAACCAGCTTTTGAAACGTAATTATTACGAGATATTGGGCGTATCTAAAAATGCTTCGGGAAAGGACATCAAGAAGGCTTATTATCAACTGGCGAAAAAGTATCATCCCGATACGAACAAAGGAGACCCGGATGCCAGTAAAAAGTTCCAAGAAGTCTCAGAAGCTTATGAAATACTAAGCGATGATACCAAAAGGAAAGAATACGATACATGGGGGGCTACATCGGAGCAAATGGGAATGGGAGATAGCGGGCGTGCCAAGGACTACAGTCGTAACTGGCAGTTTAGATCGTCTATTAACCCAGAAGAGTTGTTTAGGAAAATATTTGGAGAAGCTGGCTTCCAAAGTAACGCTTTCAATGATTTTGATGAGTACTCTGAGTCGAAGTATGGGTTTGGAGCAGCTCAAGAGGTATGCATAGAGAAGTGAGAGTGTAGACAAGTGTATACAAAGAGTATGCAAGAAGTAACTTTCGTTATAGACTGATATTGCTTGTAACTTGATCAAAACTTCCAATGAAAGTGCGAAATTTAAGCGAATATGCTTAACTGTTTGTAGAATTACCTTCTAATTAAAGTTCTATTAACCATTGGTAGATAAATACCCTGTACATATTTGAATTTTTTCTTCTCCAGATTATTATGAATTTAACATTTTCGCAAGCCGCCAGAGGAGTAAATAAAGATGTTCAATTGAACGTAATAGATACGTGCCCCAAATGTTTAGGTTCTCGATGTGACATAGGTACGAAAGCAGTGAAATGTCAATATTGCAATGGCACAGGAATGGAGACGATTAGTACTGGTCCTTTTGTGATGCGCACCACTTGTCGATACTGTCATGGTACCAGGATGTTCATCAAGTTTCCATGCACGGAGTGTGAAGGAAAAGGACAATCGGTATAAACTAATACTTTACATTGATATATAAATATACAAAACAAACTCTAACGAACACTCTATGTAACTCTTTTATCCGATAACAGGTGCAGCGAAAGAAGGTGACAGTGCCAGTTCCAGCTGGTGTGGAAGATGGTCAAACAATACGAATGGCTGTGGGTAACAAAGAAGTATTCATAACATTCCGTGTGGAAAAATCAAAGTACTTTCGTAGAGACGGACCAGACATACACACAGATGCTGAAATTTCGCTGTCGCAAGCAGTGCTTGGTGGTACGATAAGAATAGAAGGTGTTTACGAGGATCACACTATACAAATTCAACCTGGTACTTCATCGCACACAAGGATTAGACTGAACTCCAAAGGACTGAAGAAAGTGAACGGAATGGGATATGGAGACCACTACGTACACATCAAAATAAAAGTGCCTACGAGTCTGAGCGACAAGCAGCTTGCTCTGCTCCAAACTTATGCTGAGCTGGAAACTGACACTCCTGGCAGTATACATGGCATAACGTACAAAACAGATGGTAAGAATAAACGCAATGATTCTTAATATTAAATATTATGAGATACGACTGATTAAAGTATACGTACTTAACGAAAACAGAAAAGTGTGATAAATTAAATTTGAATAGCATATTGAAGTCCATTCAATATTTTACAATAATTTTTGTCATCGGTGAATACGAATGAGATTAAACATGTGTGTCGCTTGAGTTTTTTCACTGTACCTGCCACTACTAATTAAATAAATGTTGTACAAATTTATATATGTGTTTTATTTGATGCTTAATAGAAACGAAATGTTTAGCTGTTTAACTTAGCGTAAAGGATTCTCCCTGGTACTTTTATATCTAACTATTTTATCATTAGACTATACATTCTTTTAGGCCCGGCAGGTCCAAAGGTAAAAACTCAAGCGAATCAAAACATAGAATCTGAAGTGAGCCATGATAATGGCGGTCTGCTTAATAAGATCAAGAGAGCTATATTTGGATGAATTGAAAAGTAAGTGAGTGAAGGTTTGGAATACAATGTAAAAATTCTTTTTAGAGTGAACGATACATTTATAATAATATATAATATTCATTATAATTTATTCTCATCTGTGGAAGAAAATAATATCTACTATTCTAATGGAACGAATCGTTTTATCTACAGGGACAAAGCGAAGTTTTAGCGGACCCCTTGACTTAGTGGAATCCATACGAATAGCATTAGGCAATGAACAATTTACATCTAAACTCGAAGGATCTGAAGATAAACCTCAAAACAATTCCAGAAAAAAAGACAGCAATTCAAAAACTGAAGACATTGACAAAATACGAAGTCAAAAAGTGTCATAATATGTTAGATCTCTCATTTGTTAACAAGCTTATTGTTTGAAAACAATAAATTCCAAAGTTATTAAAAAAGAAAGCAAGTGCTATGTAATAGGATCTATCTTGATGCTGGAAATATTAATGAAATCCAAACAAGTTGACTGCGTCTTTATCCTTTTAGCAGAAAACATAGATGTATGTTAATATAATTGTTTATTTGTTCCACATTGTCACAAATATACAGCTTAATTTCTAATTAGTAGAATACAATTCGAAAATTTCTTTTGAGACTACGTTGTATCTGTACAATACAATTTAAAGTGTATCCACAAAAAAGAAAAATCAGACCTCTACTTCTTATAAAACGATTTCGTGATCGTCACAATTTGTTATTCTTACCAGCTGACTATGTTATGTTTGTACCTTATACAATATTTTGTAAATGTAAATATAATTTAATATTTTAGTTGAATTGATTTCACTTGTAAAGGAAAGATAAATAATTTAGTCTATGAAGATGCAGTTCTATTTGATTTAAAAATTCCGATCTCTACAAAGTTTCTTTTCCTTTGAATTGATATTACAAATTTTGTAAATGTGAAAAGGATATTTTACATTTGTCTACGAGCTGCTTGCAATTTCTTATTTTGTACAAAATGAAATTTAATAAAAATTAACGAGATGATAATCGTTTAGATGAAGTTCTTTTTGAAGAATAAAAGAAATATGCAGTTGTCTTTTTGAAAGTTTTTGTTTATGAATGCTTTAAGAGAGGAATTGCTTGTTTCTGAGTAAAAAAATTCATTTGTTTCTCACAGAATTTTGTAGTGCAATTCTTGAAAAATAATTGTGCAAAATTTCAAGTAAACATTCATGAAATTAATTGGGGCTTTAAATTTAATACATAATTGTGATTTAATTTATAAAACGAAGAATTTTAATGAAATGTATGTATGTGATTTGGTAGTCTGACCGAACGCTCAATCTCAATGGACCATTGTACTCGGGTCCATACGGCCAGAGGTTACCTATAAGATAGGGAAAGGCCGGCCTTATTCGCAAAGCGTAGAAGTTTATCAATCCATAACTCAACTAAATTAGTAGACTCCAGGTGTTGGGCCCCGAGGATCTCCACTTTGGTGTCCTCTACCTCCTTACACCGCGTAATCACATGCAGGGAGGTTTTATCTCTCTTTCCGCATCTAGGACAGGTGCAGTAGAATCAACAATTTTTATGAAATGAAAAATTTGATTAAAACCAACAATTTAATAAGATCATGTAATTTTAAACAAATCAAGAAGATAGAAGAAGAATTATAAAACCTCTATTTATGACACTTTATTTGATCAGATACATAGTCCTAAAATATAGTACAAAGCGTAATGATACAATTTCACATTATATACATAAATACAAAATATTTTATTAAATTCATTGCTTTACATTAATAAATAGTGATTACCTTAAATATCTTATTTATTAGAAATAAGAAGGTAAAAATCTAATTTATAAAATAGCATCAGAAGAAATCAATTTCAAACTAAATTATATTAAATTCAAGTATCTAATTCTGAGCATAGTTTTTCTTTACAATTTAAAAAATGTAGTATTAATTTATTTCACAGCAATAGTATTTAATGTTTTCATTGACAACGCATTGTATACTGATAATTAGACTACGGATTTTTATGCATTTATAGGAAATTTGAATGTGCAATAAATTACAAAATGCAGGCAGTATGCAATAATATAAAAAAATATTTAAAGTAAAGTTCATGTTATATTTCCAGAGTAACATAAATTCCTATTTCTATTCAATTGTTGTAGGTACGTTTACAAAGGTTTTATTTTGCATAAAGATTCGCAGTCTATTAATAATTGTTATGTGAGTGTTCCTATTTAAGGATACAGGCTGAATGCTAATAAGTGTTTACATGATCATCTGATCGATTGAACGTATATATAAGAGATAACTGATATCTCTCACTCATATAGATTTCTCGTATACTATAAGCAAAAAAGATTAAAACTAAAAATATAATTAAGCTTCGACCAGTAAGTTATATTTCAAACCGATGCCAGTCCAGGTCTGCGTAGTAGACACACGCAAGACAGCAAGAGCGATAGCCGCGATAGCGACTGCGCCTTCTAAATAAAATCCGTACAATATTCGCACATAACCAACTATAGTTGAAAGTCCACCAGCTGCGGTGAAATCCAGTGGAAACAGAACACTTGCTGCGATTGGCCTTGACCTGGCCACTCCAAAACACAGAATTCCCAGGAGATAGTAACTGCCTACAATTTCAAATAATTCAATTTACTTCTACTCAATTCTATACCTGTGACTAAAATCTTAATCTGTAGGTTTTCAGGTGATGTTGTGCTATGCAAGGTGCTTTGCGCTGAATGACGTGTCATTGTTGCTCCTAGGCTCTCCTCTATTGTGCACGTGGATGGACGCTAGAGGATTTTGGTTAGATCTGTGAATTTAACACTTTCCCTTGTCGCGTAAAAGATCGGGGATGTCCCTTGCAAAGAAAAAATGTGTTGGTACCACTAGAAAAACGTGATTTGCACAATGCGACATCATGCGTAGCGTGTAATGATATTTTCTGTAATTTCATAATCACCTCCCCAAACGAAAGGCACTACTTTAAGCCACTTAGGCATTGGCACCAAGTGCGCCTCTGTTTTATCATATCCAGTAGTGTTCCTGGATATAGCATATTTCTGGAATCGTAATGCTAATATAAGACTAAGGTTCAGAACCAAAAGAAAATGTGCAGGTATACCAATCGCTGCAAAAATTACAGTTACTGTTCGACCAGCCGTAGTGCGTGGAACTGGGGCACCGAAACCTGTGAATTAAAGAAATGAAGGTAAGTATTCAAAGTGTGCCACAGGAATTTCCAGTATTTTTAGTATGTTCTATAATTAAAATGTCATGAAAGAGGATTTTTATTGTCAGATTCCCAACTACAATAAAGTTAATAAAATTGTAGAGAGAGTCTATTGCATTTAAAATTAATCTTATTCATCTACTTACAAAGTGAAAAAATAATTTAATATTACCTAACGTTGTAAGAAGTGAGATGGAAAAGAGTATACAGCCAGGAAACGTCCAAAGTTGTCCTGCGTTTCCACTTTCTCCATATCCAGCACTAACAGCCATCAACAGAACTTCTTCATGCTTTGCTACGTACTGTTGCACCTTGTTGCTCCAAAGTGGCTCTACGTCTTCATTCTGCTCTGTGCGCAACTGTCTCAACTCTGTTGCTAAACCAACCGCTAAATTCTTCTGCATGTACTTTAATTTTACAACTTGTTCACGCTCACGTGGGCCTTCAGTTGCGCAAAAGGCGAATGCTCCAACAACAGCCCAAATGGTGAGCAGCCATGATAAGCCTGTAAATATTTAGAAATTAATTTAGAAGTTGTTATGGATCATAAGACTGTTACAATTGCATTACTTGAATTTGGAGCTTCTTTTAAGTCTGCTACAATTGCGTTATTTGAATTTACCATCTACATATTGTTAATTAATAGTAAAATTCGTTGCTCTTACCAAATAGAGACAGCGATAATCTTCCTAGGAACCGAATATGCTTCCATATTTTGGTAGATTTCTTCCCTGAGCCATTTTCCTCGAAAATGTCTTTGACGGATGGCAAAAATCTCAGCCGTAATGGTAAACCAACTATAGTTTGAATAGCTATTGATTTTGTTAATTTCTTAGGCTCCACTACTGTTTCGAGTCGTGTTGGAATGTCTTCTGAAACTGGCGTCGTCGATTCTGTGTACAATACATTAAAGTATTATTATGTTAACGCAAGAATTTTGCTATCATTTTACAAAGCGAAGTTGTTTTAAAAATATTGTATTTGGTACAACTTGAAGCAATATTTGCTTCAATGTTACTAAATTATCGTAATCTCTTTGATACTAATTAGAATGGAGCTGATGAGAAAATCAAATTATGACGATACGTTAAAAATGTTTTAATTATTAATCTTCCCATATAAGAATTGTATTTAATTATATCTCATCTAAATCTAGAAAAGGGAATTCCCCCTTGTATTAGAGAAGCATTTCTATTAATTCAGACAAGAAATCTTTGAAATTTTATATTTAATGGGTAGTGATAAATAATGATTTTCTATAGCGTATAGATCTACCATGTCGATAGAGGTTTTAAAAAAAAGTGAAAATAAGGGATATGATAAGAATTGTAAAATCTATCTTCATATATTTTTTATTTTACGAATGAAGTAATATCTTTTGTTTTTCATTTGTAATGTACTTTCATTTTATGTTGAATCAAATAAATTTAATTATAGAACTGACTAAATTAAATGCATTTGTTTTTTTTTTAAGTTACAAACAAAAGGTCATGATTACGGTTTTTTTTAACCGCACCTTAACCAGTGTTAGGAGTATTTATTGTTAATTTAGTTTCCTTAGCCGCTATAATAGAGTTATCGATTACGTTACACTACTCCCCGATTATTATTTCATGTATGCATACACGTCTATGTAGTAGTACTTATTTCAATTGTTAAAAAAAAGAGACAACAAAAATAGTCGAATTCTAGTTTTGAAACAGATGCATTTGAAAGTGTAATGTAAAAAAAAAAAGGAAATTGGAGATTTTACATCTGAGAAATGAGATCCTTTATGGTAACAAATGCGTTGTTTTCAAAAATTATTTTCATTTCAGTCAATTTCATTTTTTGGAAATAGAAAGAAAATAACATCCCGATTCTTGCTTTAGAAAAATCTATGTGGATGAGTTCTTAAAAATGTATGGAAACATCCTGATTTTCATAAAAAATATCTTTTCTAAAGCTTTACATAAAAGTTATAGTTATTAAAGAAATAAAACTTAATTTCATTTCAAATAGTCGATTTTATTTTTGAAAAGTAGACAAAAATATCTTTCCTAAAGCTTTACATAAAAATTATGGTTATCGACGAAAGTAAAATATCGTTACGATTTTTTTTAAACATTGAAGTTCATTTTCATAAAATGATAAATAAAGTACTAGTTAAAAAAAAGTACTAGATCAGACACAAAAGTAACCGGACGCGATACAAAAAGTACTAGACAAGTCACAAAAGTAACTGGACAAGATCCAAATATTACTAGATCAATATTTTGCTAATTGAATTAAATATAGTTATTAACACATTTTCTGTAACAAAATATCTTTGTGTTTACATATGCCTTTTTCATATTAACTACCCACACTTATTATACCCCTCTCTTCGTAATACTGTTTATTTTATCTTTGCATTATTATTATCATTGCTGTTCTGTTTATTGTTTATCTACCTTCCCTATCCTATCCTTTTCTATTATCACATTTTTACGCAGACTTTTATTCTAACTTTGACACATTGCTTAGCATTTAGCTTACAAAATTATGTTTGCATTTTCTAAGAACTTCATGATACTTCTAAATACCTTAATTCTTCCAGTCTTAAATTAAATATAAATTGACGACAGTAATCATACCGATGGCACATACAACGTCATCGTCGTCCTCTTCGTTGTGCCGTTCTCGTTCTGTCATCGTTATGCGAAATTCGGTGACACGTTGGTGGATCTGGTCCCTCGAGTTGGGACAGACCAAATTCTTGCGAGCGCAACGTTGTATCCTGTGGATCCCCGAAGTGCGTCGCGATTTTGGTACATGTCGTTTCGAAGGACAGCCAACCGTGGGGAGCGAAACACGTGTCAACCTTGTGATATCTACTACATCACTAAGAGGTGAGCTTGCACCCTTGAGGCTTGGCGGCGCTGGAAAAAGGGGCACGTCCATCGAGGAAGGTCAAGGTTACTGTGACTATAAATTATAAGGCAACCACGTTCGATGACTCTCCCTTTAATCTTGTCGATTCTCTTGCTTTTATTCAATATGCGCTGATGTACACTGCGCCACGATTACGATATCCATGGCGCCACGTGTTTTTATTTAATATAATTCATCAGAAAGACAATGTCACGAACCGTAATTCTCCATCACGTTTCATTTAGGAGTTACATATATTCATTTAAGGGGTTATACCGCTTTGGTCGTTTCAAAAAATCGAATTTTTTTCTTAGAAAAACTCTATACATATACAGGGTCTACCAAAAATGTTTTTAACAAAAGTACATCGGTATTTAATGAGCTACACGTTCTCATATTCTGAAATCTGGAAAAATGCATTTTACGTAAAAAATGTAGAGGTCACCTTGACATTTTGAAATGGCAGTATATGTTTTAGATATTGTAGGGTTGTTGCTGATATCGAATTCGACAGTGTACTACACTACAACCTTGAAAATTGATTATTTGTATAGATTCGCTAGGAGGGTGTGATTGTTCCTTGGAGGGTTTGCAAGCCATAGTCTTCAAATGTAATCAACATTATTTTGTGTTATCATGTACTATTCTGTATTATTCTGTAATACTCTGCATTATACTGTATTATGCTATATTATGCCATGATAAGGTATTAGAAAATGATGTTCCAAGTAGTACGAAATTTGTGTATGTTTCAATAATATATTACAGAATATAAATAAGCTTCACAGTCAAGGGCCAAATGCTCCAAAGAAAGGTCATTGTTGCTCTGCAAAATAAATGCGATGTCAAACTTTAAATAAATATAACTTATGAACTAAATATGATAAGGAATCGTGGTTTGCAACATTGTTTTTCCGAAATTATATTAAATAAAAACATAGTCAAATTGCAGTGTCACCCTTACCAACTGTTAAAATTGTTTAATTGTACATATTTTGAGAAAAATGTTTGGGTGATGAAACAGGTTACGAAACAAGACTTCATCCATTTGAGATCAACAGCAATATTCACATGAAGTGAAATTCACTATTTCCAATAATTGTATTGTTCTTTTTAGATATAGTACGAGTACATAGTCATCGGAATAAACATTACACTTTGGTATAACTGCATGCTGCGCGAACTGACAGATGTCATTTATTTCTTGACACGTGACTGGACGTTAACAATAAGCCGCACTGCGCTTAATAAAAACGTTTTATGGGACAGAAATGAAAAGAAAAGATAAAATTAAACATTAAAACAAAAAATATCGATTCATGTCACTGTTCGAGCAATTAGGAAATTACTAGCACCCGTGGGATTGAATTTTAATTATTGAATATTCTTACAAAACCGAAATTCAAGACCCGATTTTGAATGCGCATGCGCACTGTTCTTAACGTCAGTAAAGTATCTAATAGGTCACAAAATCGGCGCCTTAGTCACCCCAAAGAAAAATTGGAAATACTTCTTAGCATATAATAAGGCTGCACTTTACTTTGACGGACCTAAAATTTTTAAGTTTCTTTTACATAATCCTGTAGATTTTGTCGAGAAAAATCTGGAAATGTTAGTTTTAAACTAGCTAACTAAAAGTGAAAGAAACTTAAAAATTTTAGGTCCACCAAAGTAAAGTTTAACCTATAATAATATTAATTGTGTGGATAGATAATTTTACAGATAAAACACATTTTTTATAACTTAAAGAACGGTTTTCCTGGTTTTGGCGCTAACCGTTGCTATGGAATCATACATTGTTTCCTATAGCTACGGCACTGCGCGGTCAGCTTTTTTTGACGCGCATGCGCGAGTGGGAGCCAAATTTGATAACACGGGCGCATGGACCTGTGTATGACAGCTCAACAAATGTCACTGACACCAACTGACACTCGTGTCACTACGTGTCACTTGAAAAACGATGTCATATAATAGCTTGATATTATAATATTAATAATAGAAATAAAAAAGAATTGGGATCACGTATCGTTTCCTATAGC